TTCAAAATACTAGGGTGGAGGAGGGGAATCAAGCAGGAAAGAAAATAACCACCATAGCAACCAAGACAATGTTGTGATAAAAGAGCAAATAAATACATCAGAACAGAAACACAGACAGTGGTGGTTGCCATCAGGGAGAGTGAAAGGGACTAGAGTGGGGTTAAACCCTGCCAAGCAGCACTTAAAATTTTTTATTTCTTTGATTTAAAAGAAAGAAACTTTAAGCAAATAATATAGAATGAGAGTTCTATAGTTAGAGCAAATGTCTGCCCTAGTATTTAGTGCTTTTCACTATATTTTTTAAATAATAGACTATTTTTGGAAGTGGTGCAGAAATTATACTCTGCACAGTTTCCTAATAACCAACATCTTACGGTGGTGTGGCTTGCTATGGTAAACTGACTGATAATCACACATTATTAATTATATCTGTAAGTAACAGTAGTGCTCTTTTTGTTTTTAAGTTCTTTGACCTTTGACAGATATGGAATGTTACCTATCCATAGTTACAGTATCTTATAATAGTATTTACTAAACATAGGTGTTACATCTGCTTATTCATCCCTTCCTCCTGAGAGCATTGCAACCTCTGACCTCTTTACAAAAACCTTGTCTTTTCCAAGTAATCATATCAGTAGATCATACAAACTACACTCTTTCACACTAGTAGCTTTCACTTAAATACATGCATTTATGTCTATGTCTTTATTTTTTCTTTCTTTTAAAAAAGTTTAACTTATAAAAGTAGGCATACTAAGAGGGTAATGACTCATAAAATAGTTATGGCAATATAACACAATATAATTCTGTGTAGTCTTTTCAGAACATGACCAATGTCTTAAACTAGAGAAAATAGAAGCTTGAATGGTGGAGACTGCCATCACAGGTCAGGCATTTAAGACTAAATGGTAGATGCCAAACTTGCAGGGATCCAGCATATATACAGCTGTACCAATAAAATTATTATTTTGAATTTCATGACTTCATTTTGAAAACTGAAATATTTGGGACCATCCCATGAGCTTTTTTTTTATTTTGTTTTGATGAGACAGGATCTCATCTGGCGAGACAGCTCCATGGGTAAAGCTCTTGCCAAGCAAGTATGAGATCCTGAGTTTGAATCCACAGAAGCCATGTAAAGAAGTATGCTGTAGAAGACATATATAATCTCAGCACTCCAACAAGGAGATAGGAGGTGGAGACTATGCCTGGACACTCAGAGACCATCTCTCTACCCAAGACTCCTGAGTCCCATTTCTTTTGCCCTTGTCTCCTCTACCTGTAATCATAGACCAAGTCTCAGTTGTGAAAGGGAGGGAGGAAGAAAAAAGGGAAGACTTCATGGAGGAAGTGTTAGAGACAGAGGGAAGGACCTTCTAGTAGGAGACGATGTTACAATATACTCACTTTTCAGAGTCATTTAGTTTCTTCTTTGGGCCATGAATTATGTCCTGAGTAACAGTAAATTTGTAGGACTCCCTGGCAAACAAAGCTATCTTTTGATGAAAGGATTATCTATCTTTTCTTATCAGCATGCACCGGTTTTCTTATCATCAAGGTGGTTCCCAAGTATTGGCAGCTGGGAGCAAAGAATGTGTTGAACACCAAGAGAAGAAGTGAGACATGTACTGAGAAACTAGGAGCCACTGGCTTGTAGATTAGTTACAGTCAGAATCTTGCCCCTTCCTTGTTCCCATTTCTTTCTCTATACTTCATGACGGTTTAGAGTTGTTTGTGTATTTGTCTCTACTAGGTTAAACATTTTCTGCATGCAACTATTTTTCGCTTGTGTCTATGTATGTTATTTAGTTTGTTGCCATATTGTGCCTTGAATCTAGAGTCTCAAATACAACTAAGCAAGTACTCTATATCCCCAACCCCTTGTTTATTTTGAGACAGGAGCTCACTAAGTTGACCAAACTGGCTTCTAGATGAACTTGTAGATGAACTCAGCTTTGGACTTTTGATCCTCTGGCTTCAGCTTCCCAAGTAGGTGAAAATGTACCACATAGCAAGAGGATATATTTTTTCTTTTTGTGTTTGTGCTGGTTAATCTTTTTGTCAACTTGACACAAACCTAGACATATCTGGGAAGAGGAAATCTCAGTTGAGGAATTGCCTCCATTAGATTGGCCTGTGGGCATATCTGCAAGGCATTTTTTTGTCTTTTTCTTTCTGATTAATGACCTATATGGGAGGGTCCAGCCCACTGTAGGAGGTACCACCCCTTGATAGGCAGTCCTGAATTGTATAAGAAAGTAGTTTCTCCTTTCCTGTCTCTGTTCCTGCTAGAGTTTCTGCCCTGGTTTCATTCAATAATCAATTGTGATTGAGATATATATAAGCTAAATAATATGGTTCTTCCCTGAGTTACTTTTGGCCATGGTGTTTATCATAGTAATAGATGGCAAACTGGGGCAGTTTGGGTTCTTTTGTTTTTATTGCTGGTACTGTCTGTTTGTTGGCACTGAGACTGAATTTACAGCCTTGCAGATGCTAGCCATGTACTGTATACTACTGTCCTGTGTCCACTAGTCCTACCTGCCCTGTTTGTTTCTTTATTTCCTGTTTTGAGAAAGGGTCTTGCTAAGTTGAACAGACTGCCCTTAAATGTACAACTCTACTGCTTCTGCCTCCCATGTAGCTGAGATTATAAGCCTGGACTGAAAAGCTGGGGCAAGTTCATTTACCTGAATATATCTGTCCAGGAAAATGTATTTGATATCCACTATATATTGAATTCATCTGTAAACAGGAATAAAGAGACAAATTCATATAATCATTGTGAGGGGAGATGTAGGGCTAAGAAGATATGGAAATTATATTCAAAGAGCAGAGGCTTGAGCATTTGAGGTGTTGGGTAGAGATATTTGAACCCCCACTAAACTTTTCCAAGGTTAAGCATCTTACAATAAGATAAGTATATTGAAGTGTTACTTTATCATTATTTACACTATTCAGAAAAAAGTATATTGTCTTTACTTTCTCAAGAATAATCAAGATGGAGAAATGTAAATAGAATTGCTCAATAATATGTGGAAACATAGGAGTTTGATCCTAAGATCAGACTAGGTGACTACTAAAACTTATTGTGTAATTCTTCCTGTTTCTTTTAAAATATTTTATTGTGTTTGTCTGTGTGGGTGTGAGTGCAACAGTGCATTTGTAGATACTGGAGATACAGTTCTCTCCATCTACCTTGTGGGCACCAGGAATCCAAGTCAGGCACAGGGACAGGTACCTTTACCTGCTGACTCATATCTCCAGCCCTTTCTACCCATTCTTCTTAAAAAGTTGTTAGTACTACATTACTTTTATTTGCTTTTAATTGAAAATTGTATATATTTGTGAAGCACATGTGTTGATCCATGTAGACATTGCATAAAAGTCAAATCAGCTTGCTTTTTACATATTTATTACTTCATTTTTATCATTCTTTGTAGCACAATATTCAAAATCACTTTTTGCTTTTTGAAGCTTAATTCAGTATTGTTAAATTTATTATTCCTCTGTGCAAAAGACTATCAGAAATTATTCTTCTTACCTAGAAGTAACTGTGTACCCACAGACAAGTTTTCTATCCAACTTCATCCCTCTTCCCTCCCCTCTAAAAACCTTCCATAGCCTCTATTCCACTCTCTACTGCTATTAGGTCAACTCCATGGTACTCCACAATAAGTGGTCATGTGGTGTTTTTCTTATTTCTTGAATCATGAAATCTTGTGTATTTGCCCATGTTGTTGCAAATGACTGGATTATTTTTCACTGTGTGTATGTGTATAAATATTTTTTATTTGTCATTTCTTTTATTTATTTGTGTATATGTGCCAGTTTGTGCACATATATGCCAGTGCCCATAGAGGCCAGAAAAGAAAGTCAGATCCCCTAGAACTGGAATTACCTGTGTGAGTTCTGGGAATTGAACTCTGGTCCTTTAAAAGAGCAGCAAGCACCCTTTATAGCTGAGCCATCTCTACATCCCCATCTTTATCCATTCATATATTGAAGGATACTTAGGTTAACTCCATGTTTTAGCTACTGTGAACAGGGCAACAATCAATATAAGAGTGAAGATGTCTCTTTGACATACTTATACTTTATTTGATTTCATTTGAATACACACACACACACATATATATATATAATGATATTACTGAATCATATAGCCACATAGCTTTCTATCATGGTTACACTAATTTACATTTTTGTCAACAGTACATAAGAGTTTCCCTTAGATCACTTCCTCTATCAGAATGTTACCTTTCCTCTGTACCCGGCTTACGTAGAGTCATTCATTCACTCACTGCTTTATAATAATCTCTTTCACTATATACCCTCCTCAGATGGAACCTTGTCCCCATTTTAGGTGTGCCAGCATCTTAATTCTCAAATAACTTGTGGCCAACCTGTTAGTGAAGAACTCAGCTCTTCAAGATTGCTGTTTTTCTCCTCTCTGGTGTCAACAGGAGTTGTGTCAATTATCCAGTAGGTTCCCTGAGCACCTGAGATGTTATTGTGCAACACAGGCGGTGGTTAGGCCAGTAGTGTTCCAAATTCTTTGAGTTATAACACTGACTCAGAGTAGTTCTTGTTCTTTTTTATTTATTCTTGTAGTTTCAGTTCGTCTATGACTCAATACTGACCCCTGTGGCAATCTCTTTCTTGAGGCATTGCCCATTAGGAACTGGTTTATTTCCTTAGAACATCTAGCAGACAATTTAATATCATTGTTATAATTATTTTTTTGTCTTCTATCTGTCTTGATATCCTGAAAGAGAAGTTATGTGACTCACAAAGCAGGTAGCACATGGCTCAGGCGAGCAGCCTGGTAGGTAGGAGGCAAGGTGTTTTCCTTGACCTTAAATACACTGTGACCCAATCTAAAACTTAACTGCCTGACTTGATGCTGGAAAGATAAGCTAATAGGCTGATTATCAAAGCAGCAGAAGGAGGTGGTGTTAGATACAGGAGCAGTCAGCATCTGCTTTTCCTTCTTCTAGAGAGAAGACAATTGACTTGGACTTGACTTTGAGCAGAGGATTAAGGTAAAGTGCTGGTATGGAATGATGGAGGATCAAGAAATTTCCATATGCCTGAATCATTTTCTTTGAATGAGGCAAATAGCAAAGTGAAGTGCAAGAAACAGCTGGGGTTTTTTGCTTGTTTGTTTGTTTTGTTTTTAGTAAACTAGAAGTTACATATGTGTCCTGAAATATGAATCACTAAGACACAAGTGCTTTTTTGGTTGTGGCTTAGGATAAAATTGTAATTTATGTTCTTGCTCATAATATTACTCACTTTATATTGAAATGAGTTGTTTGTGATTCTACCAAGAAAAGTGTCTGTTACTCTTGGCTGAGTTTGTCTTCTATTTACAGTCTGTAGTTTGTAACACTGCTTTACAGTATAATATTGCCTTTTCAGTACAAGAGTTTAAAATCATATATCTTTTTGGTGCTGAGTAAGTGTGTGTGTGTGTGTGTGTGTGTGTGTGTGTGTGTGTGTGTGTTGTAGTCAACAAAAACTGAACCAATGGGATATAAGGAGATATTGGGTGGGACTTTTGTTTTTGTTTATTTTTAGTCAAAAGAATAATATTTTGATGTTATTTGGAGTGACAATTTAGAATTAATCATATATGGAGGGCAGTGATTGAACTTTCAGATAGAATCAGTTAAGATCAGGATAGAGGGTCTTTCTATTTTCTACTCTAGAATTTCCCAATGATTGCTACTGACTGCCTAGTGAATTCTACTTTGTGAGTGAGGAAGGAGGCCCCACATTCTTCCTCAAAGACCACGCCTGTTTGTGGGTTTAGAACTCTCCATGCTCTACTTATGGAGTTGGCTTTCATATGGAACAAGTTACATCTGCCAGTATCTGTAGATCAGGAAACAGTTGATTGATCAATGGATAATGATTTCTCTAAGAGAAGAGACAACTGGTATATTTGAGGATGTGAGCAAATTTTCTCTCCACTTTGAAAGTGAAGTGAAACTGTTTGCCATTTTAATTGCTAGGAATGACTGTCTGTTGGGTCCTTTGCCAGCAAGTATCATAATTGCTATGTCTTTATTTTCCAGAATCCTTTAAAAACGGGAGCATCAGACCCATCAGATTGGTTTAGATTAAAAGGACAGGGGCATTGTAATTGAATTATGATGGATGTAGGCAAAATTTACCAAGTAGATGGTATTGAAATGGCTAGGGAATGTCACCTGAAGTTGGGGTAGCAAAAGGTTGATATTAGTCAACCCAGGTGATAATTTTCAATAACTAATTTATTTATTTTTGGTAAATAGTCAAAGTCCAATGTAATTTTCATATTTTTTACTCAGGCAAGTGGATGAAAAGAGTGTTATTAACCAAATAGGTAATGGGGATCAAGTTACATTCTCACATTAGGCAGATAGTTCAGGGCATGGTGAATATGAGTTGACTTTTAAGACACCAGAGTAGTCTAGTGAGTCTCTGTCCCACCAGACAGTTACCAAATAACCACAGAGACTTGTTATTAATTATCTGACAGACTTTTTCTGTGAAGTAGCAATTTTTGAAGGACTGTCTTGCTCTGTCTTAGAAAAGTTTAGCAGTCGCTTTCTTTTATGTCCTGCTTCTCGGTTTGGACAGTATACTGTTAGCAGTCAAGGCAAGGGAAGTTTCTTGCTCAAATGGCTAGCTTTTGCCACAAAGGAAGCATCTTCAATGCCCAGCATTATTTTATGAAGTAGATTGTTGTTGCCAGGAGCAGATGAGTATCACTGTCATGAAAAGCCATATGCTATTAAAACATTAAAATGCCATATTCTGTAGGTCTCTGAAGTGTTTGACTACCACCTATCTATTTAAAATATGTCTCTGATTAACCTTGAAAACATACCTAACATGACTATAAGTTTAATTGTTATAGCCGGGCGGTGGTGGCACACGCCTTTAATCCCAGCACTCAGGAGGCAGAGGCAGGTGGATCTCTGTGAGTTCGAGGCCGGGCTGGACCGACAGCCTCCGAAACAATACAGAGGAACCCTGTCTCATAAAACCAAAAAAATGATAATAATAACCTTAAATTTATATGAATATACAAAAATACCTATACTAATATAAAGTATTTGAGGCTATTAGTTGTTCTTTTTAGTTTGAAAATAGATACAATAATCTACCCTTTATCCTATCATTTCTATTTCCCCTTTTCATTTTCAGAATGAGATCCCTGAATCTAATTTCCTTTGTTTGGTATCCTCCCTGACCATGACCAATAACAACATGTGACCATCCCCCCAATCCCCTTTTGGCAATGTGGATTGTCTGAGGTTGACAGCATCTTTAGGGGACCCTGACAAAATTAAGATAATGTTCAAGTCCTGGGGGAGCTAACTGTTGTCCAATCTCAGTGCGATGGGGAAATTTAGGGCTTATCTGAAGTCTTGGCTGGAGTAGTCTGTGAGACTGGACTATCTCAGCCAATAGTCTTGAAGCTTATGCTGTTCTGGATGCAGAATTCTGAGGAAACTGCAACAGAGGCACACTGAGAGCCTGGATCACCTGGGCTACCTGTTTTCATTGGTGTCTGAACCCCTTGCTCTGAAAACATACAAAGTTTTAAAGGTAACATACATATTTGCATTAACACAAGTATGGAATGTGCAATGTGCAAGGTAAAGATTTTTTTCTATGTTTGAGCAGGTAAAAAGCATCTTTCAACTTTATAATTCCATTTGGACTGTATAACCAAACTGTAATATAAATCTTTATCCATGCCATGTGAGGATGGCATGTAATGACAAGTTATGATGACTTTGTAGCCAACAAGATTTGTCATGTGCCATCTCCTCTCCCAGCTGTTCCTATGCAGAGAGATCAGCTTACACGCCACTATCCTGTAGTCTTTCTTGGTTTCTACCCCATGTCAGTAGCCAAGATACTCAGGAGGTCTCCCCTGATCAAATCTGATCTTTATTAATCTGGAAGGAATCCACAGTGTTTCACTTCCTGTTGAAACAAAAGCATAGCTTCTCCTGCAAGGCAACATACTTTCCAATCTGAAATTTCATTTTGAAGCCAAGATTACAGTATATACACTGATTTAGTTCATCAGTCCCTTTCACAATACCATGTCTGTCAGCAGCTGTTGTCTGTTATGAGCATTTAAATAATTAAAAATTAATAATGCACCATTCAAAGTCCAAATCCCCTGTGTTGTAATATTTCCCATCCTTACATGGCTTATTCTTTTTAAAAAATACTTCTCTCTTTAAAGACTTTACTGTATTATTTTAAAATTATTTTTATGACTATCTATGCTCTTCTTCTTTTTCTTTTCCTTATGCCTATGCACATTGTTCAACACACTATTACCTCTTTAGAGCTTTTCTCCTTCAGAACCTGCTTTACTATGCATCTGCATCCTTTTCTGTCTGCATGAGCAGAATCTTAAACTGCCACACAGCTTAACTCATGACGTGCTGGTAGCTCAAGTCAGAAGACAGTAGCCAAGGACTAGGAAGCTACTTTTGGCTCTGTTTTTATGTGTTTGGAACCTTCTTAAAGGTTTCTCAGGTCTTATGTGGAAATATATGTCCCACACTAGATGACATTTGTAGCGAGTTTTTCTCTCCTGCCAGCCAGCTCCCAAATAACATGAAGACTTATTATTAATTATTAACCTATAGCTTAGGCTTGTTTCTAACTAGCTCTTATAATTTAAATTAACCCATTTCTACTAATTTACATTATGCCACATGGCTCATGGGTTGTTACCTTCTCTCCTACATGCCATGCTTCCTCTGAGTCTCTTTGAGGTCCACCCTGCTTCCCAGACTCCTCTGGCCTGGAAATCTTGCCTAGCTATTAGCCATTCAGCTCTTTATTAAACCAACCAGAGTGACACATCTTCACAGTATACAAAAAGATTATTCCGTAACAGAGTAGAGATTTTTTGTGATAAAATTATCTTGTTTATAAGAAGAACCTAGTGACACCTGCCAAATTAGAACTTTATAGTCCTTAGGTCATTTTCCAGAGTTAGGAGGAAACGACACCATACATCTATGGCTTCCACCTTTAAGAAATTTATTTAAATACCACAGAAGATACCAGTAACCCTCCATGACAGTTAGGAATTATACACTTAGAATTGCCAAAACAAGGGCTGCAGAGATAGCTCAGTGGTTAACAGCACTGGCTATTCTTCCAGAGGTCCTGGATTCAATTCTCAACAACCACATTGTGACTCACAACCATCTCTAGTAGAATCTGATACCCTCTTCTGGCATAGAGTCATACATGCAGATAGATCACTCATATGCATAAAATAAATAAATAAACATTTATTTTAAAAATAAAAAAGAATTCACCAAAAAATTATGTAGATGCTTCTTGGTTTTCTGTGGTCAGTATTCAATTAGAATATTCATGTTATATTTGTAATTTTTATTTATTTATTTTTATTGCAAAGATTATTGTATAATTATAGTATTTCTCCTTTCCACTTGCTCCCTCTAAACCTTCCACATATCCCCTTTCCACTCTCCTTCAAATTCATGGCCTCTTTTTTTCACTAATTGCTGCTACATGTGTGTATGTATTTGTTTACACATATACATTCCTACATAATACCTATTCAGTCAGTGTAATATTCCTAATATTTATTACTTCAGTTCTAATCATTTGTCACTGAGCAACCAGTTGGTGTGCTCTTCCCTGGGGAAGTGCACCTTTTCCACTTCTGACTTTCCTCAGGTTTTCATAGTTCTTTGGGCAGGGTTGAGGACTCAGGGGCTTTCCTCCATCTGCTTTTGCATATCCATTGGTGTTGTCACTTTTGGGCAGTCTTTCGTCCTATCTTACTTGCCATTTCTCTTTATCTTTTTATGTTTCACATTACTCTCTTTTAAAAACATCTTAAAATGGGGGAACTTTTGATATTATTAGGTTCATGTTACTTTTATTTGTACAGTGGTTCTCAACCTTCCTAATGCTGTGACCCTCCTTTAATACAATTCCTCATGTTGTGTGACCCCAACCATAAAAGTATTTCATTGCTACTTTATGACTGTGAATTCGCTACAGTTATGAATCATAGTGTAATATCTCCAATCATAATGTAAATATCTCATATGTGGGGGGGTATTTGATATGCAACCCCTGAGAATGGGTCATTTGACTCTCCAAAGGGGTCATGACCCACAGATTGAGACCTCTGCTCTAGTAGTTTTTCCTATATGCTTAATGGGCACTTGTATGGTGTAGTACATACTATGTTTTGAAGAAACCAAAACTTTTGACTTATCAATTCTAAGATCTCTGTAAGCCATTTTACTTCTCCAAACCCATTTCTCAGCTAAAAATTGAATACTGATTTCTCATCTGTGAATATGTTTTTAAAAATTAGTTTGAGGATATAATGAAAAACACTTGACATGGTGCCTAACACATGACAGGTGTTAAACAAATGCAATTTTTCATTTTATTTTTATTTGAATTGTCCATCTTATAGTAGGATCTATAGTATACTCATAATCCTCAGACAGCAATGTACTCAGTGGGGACAGGAGGTATTTCTGCTGAGTTTAATTAAATGTCTATTTCTTATTCTTGTAGGTCATGGGAAGTTTCAGAGGTCATGCCCTCCCTGGAACCTTTTTTATTCTCATGGGGTTTTGGTGGAGTACAAAGGGTATTCTGAAATATGTTTACAAAAAGCAAACTCGGACCTGCTACCTTAGTTCCAAAACATTTTTACGTCGAACAGAAATTTGGGAAGGAGTTGTTGCAGTCTTAATGGCTTTAACTGGTAAGTTGACTGTGGCTGTGTTCTGTTTTCTTCTTTAGGGTAATATTTCATGAGAGAAAAGAATGTTAATACAATATTGAGATACACTAAGTGATTTTGTATAAATATGTATCTTAGTATTTATCCCAATTATAGTTTATAACTGACATAATCTTAGGAAAATGGTATTTCATAATTATACTAATCCTTAATGAGTCACAGTATTTAATTTGCCTAGCCAACTAAGTGAATTTTCTTTGTATCACAAGTTGAAGCCTGTGAAATAGTTTGATACAAGTTGTTCTGATCTCTCAAAGAGTAAACTCTGTAAGAAATCATTTTGTAAATTACACTAATCAAGTGATTACTGGAAATCTGCAAAAACAAATCATTTCTGCAAGATGATAGAGGGAGTCGGGTCTGAAGGAACTCTTATTCCATGTACAACCACCTTGTTTCCAGCTCACTTTTAACTTGAAGAACTTTCCATTGCTGTTGAACATTCTATAAAAAGGTTGTGCATTTTCACAGTAATGTGGTAGCTGCTCCTTTGTAAATAGTAACACTTCTAATTTTTCTACCAATTGTTTTCATTCATGTCAATAGAACTTTGTTATGAGCATCAAATTACAAAGTAACCACTTCCAAAGAGCAGGATTCCTCTGCCCATTCTAGAGGTTAACAAGGCAGTGTCTAAAAAACAACAACAAAACTGTCTACATGAATAATTACCCACATGTAGAGTCTGCTTGAACAGTCTCTATTATTCTTAATCGGGGAAAATCTAAATGCCTTATCGATTTTGTCAGGAATCACCGAAAACACCCTACTTTGTAATAGCTGCTTAAGGGTGTAATATCTAGAAAGAAAGTAAACATTCTTCATATGACACATACCATAAATCCAAACCTCCAAGTCATTCAGGACTCTAGTCATTAGATTAGAGCCAGTTGTTGAACTAAAATTATCATTGTTAAGGATATGAAACAGTTACTTGGATCATTTATCTATATGTAGATGAAACATGTTATCCAAACCAACAGCTGAACTTTTGAATCAAGTCTAAGTCATTATGGCTAGGTTTTCAGTAGAAAACTCAGAGGGAGTAATCAATGTCGTAATGTTAGAATAAGCAATGAACACGTGGCCCAGTGTCTTCACACCTACTAAGTAGAGTTAGGAATAGGGTTGCTAAAACTGTGGTATGTTCCTCTGCAGGTATGGTTGGGGAACAGTTTATCTCAGGCGGACCATCCCTGAACTTGTATAAAGATGGCCAGTGGAACCAGCTTCTGGGCTGGCATCACACAACCATGTACTTCTTCTTTGGACTACAGGGTGTAGCCCAAATCATATGTTTCACTACCAATTTACTTCCAACATCCTTGAGCAAGTTAATGTTATCAAATGCCATCTTTGTAGAGTGTAAGTATGAGGGAAAATAATATGTTTTCTGTTCTTTTTATTAGCAGGCATTGATATAGTGCTTTATAATAGCATATCTTTTGTTTCTCTGTATCACCTTGATTGGCAAGACTATCTGTCTGGGCCATAGTTGAATATATGGTTGTCCTAGAGAAGACAACTATATAGTCTTCCTTTCTTACATCTTTACAGGCTAATTTAATAGATCTGGGCAGACACAGCCACTCTAAAAACTTTGTTCACATTTCATATTTGTCATTAGAAATCATCTAGAGTGGGCACTTAACCTCTTGGTTGTTGTGGAGCGTATCATTCTCTTTATGTCTAACAATGAAAACTGAACTCAGAATAATAGTTCATGAATTACTTGAAATGGGGCAACCAATCACAGTAGAAGATGTCTACCAATCTCTAATAAGCTCTTCAAATACCCATAAACAGAAACTCCGACAAAATGTGGTATGTAGTGTCTAAAAAAATGACTTCTTAATTTTGAGAAGTTAATGAAAATACAGGAATGTTTCTTCCAGTTAATTTCTCAGATTATCATAAAAGGGAACACAAAACAAGTGTCCAATGATTTCTTATAGCTGTGTATGCATTTACTGAGTTCCTTAAAGTGTGCTTTGATTCAGTTAATTTATCTGTACATTCACATTAGTTATAGTGCCTTATCCTAGTCATGTTCATTATACATAGCCCTACATAGATAACACTTTGAACAATAGTTGAATGTTTTACGGTATGTTATAAGAAAGAACAAAAGTTAGAAGAAAGGAAAGGTGGAGTTAGAATTCAAAGACTCTCTTCCTAAGAGGTTATATTTACTCTCGTCTAAGTAAAAATACATGCTATGAGAATCAGTGGAGATTTGTTCTTTGGGGTAATTTTATGTTTGTATTAAATTCCATGGCAGGAGGGTGGTACAGTGGGAAACCTTTGGTTTTATCAGAAAATATGTTTTGCCCCTTCTGTTAGCATTTATCTTCTACAACCACACTCATGGTCGGGAAATGTTGGATGTTTTTGTGCACCAGCTTCTGGTCTTTACCACCATTTTGGCGGGTTTGGTTACCTTCATAGAATCCCTCACAAAGAACAATGTACTTCTGGAACTCCTGTGGTCAAGCCTCATCATACTGCAAGGGACCTGGTTTTGGCAGGTGAGTTGTGACTTGGAGCTAATATACCTGGTATCACCTATCTGTAGTTTTTATTCTTAATCGGTGAGGCATTTGTTTTTTAATACTTCCCTTCTATGAGTATCAGAGAGGTTATGTTCTTGGAGTGATCTGGTGGCTCTGGTGAGACTACTGTCAGAACAGCTGAGGAAGAAGCAGATAGTGTCTTCCTTCCTTATGGGTTCACTTACCCTTTATATAGGAATTCTGAGTTGATGATTATGGTTGTAAGTGATTCCTGGTGCTAGAACAGCTTAGAGCATAATGGGTCATGGGCTCAAGAACTATATGAAAGACCAAAGAGAGAGAGAGAGAGAGAGAGAGAGAGAGAGAGAGAGAGAGAGAGAGAGAGACTTACCGAGAGACAGCTCTGTGATGGCCACCATGTGGGTTTAATGTACATCTCATTTTATCTTTTTATTTCAGAAAACAATTATCTCATGTTTATCTTGCATATAAAATCTTTGTGTGGAATAAAAACATGAAAATACAGCGAGGTGGAGGAACCAGAAAGGGGGACCCAGTAAGGGGGAGGACAGGACAGGAGAGGGAAGGAGAACAAGAAGTTATATGGTGTGTGTGTGATTCAAACATATCATGAAGCTCCGAGTTTTGTGAAAACAGTTTGGGACTAGCAGTATAGCTCAGCAATGAACAGTGTTTGTCACTTTTGCAGAGGATAGAGCTTTTGTTCTTAGCATTCATGGCTCATAAACTCCTGTAACTCCTACTGTAGGGGTCCAGCCTCTCAGGCACCAGATGGTACCTGGTCAGGGCTAGTGCCCTTGCCTAGAGTTCCCCAGTGAGGGGCTCAGAGTTAGAGACCGTCTTGTTCTATTGTATCCCCATATCCTTACAATGACCCAGAGGTTAGGAATTACCACCTTTAATTTGCCTATAGGTATCTTCAGCAAGACCAAGATATTTTCTCGTGCTCAAACAATAAGATAACTAGGATCTAAGTCTAGACTTCTCTAGCCCCAAATGCCAGACACTTCCCATTTTATAGCATCATCAGCTCCCTAAACTTGCCATGCTATTGAGAGTGTGCATTCAAACAGTGAACATGTATTTTTGAGAGACGACCAAGACACAATCATGTTCACATGTAGACATAAACAAAGTCTAGAATGAGGTGAGGATGTGGTTTGATTAGGCCAAACTTTGAAGAGGAGATTTTTAGTCACCCGAGAGCCAGGATTTGGAGTGATGTGGCTATTTTAGGGACTTGAATTTCCCATACACGGTGCTAAAGAATTGGCAGGTGATGGTGAAAACGTGAAGTGGTTTAAACGAGATATGAAGATGAAGAATCCACACATGGGGCTAGGTGGAAGAACTTGTGGTGCAGGGACCAGCAAGGTGGGGCTGGGCTCCTGCATTAGTTTGAAACATGCTTTGTAGAAAAATATTATAAAGACCCTATAAAGTGATCAACGTATTAATTGCTGATGATAGCAAGCCTAGGTAGAGTATTAACCCTCCACAGGGAACCTAAATAGAGTAAAGACGATGACACATAAAGAACTAGTGTCCATTGAATTGCAGTGCTTTCTCATGTGCATGTGTTTGGTAGTCAGAAGGAAAGGTTTTTTTGTTGTTGTTGTTGTTTTTTCCGAGACAGGGTTTCTCTGTATTGTTTTGGAGCCTGTCCTGGAACTCGCTCGGTAGACCAGGCTTGGTCTCAACCTCATAGAGATCCCCCTGCCTCTATCTCCAGAGTGCTGGGATTAAAGGGGTGTGCCACCATTGCCCAGCCCAAAAGGTGTTTTCTGTTTGTTTGTTTGTTTGTTTGTTCTTCAAGAGAAAATTTCTGGTCAAGTTGACACACTGAGCCTATGCTTCAATGAATACTCTCTGCTCTGAACACATAACAAAGACAGATAAGATAGACAAATGCTTTCAGTGATTGGAAACTAAAAAGAGAAATTAAAAAAGAAAAACAAAAAAAATAGAAAACATCTCACTACATTCAGGTAAAACAGACAAAAGTAGGTCTTAAAGTCTTGTGGGGAAAAACAGAAGTACAAGGCTGGAGAGGAGCTGAGCTGGTGGCCTGCTGATGCTACTCCAAGGCAGACAGACAGTGATTGACAGCTGTTGGGGAAATACCAGACTCTTGTACCATTCTGTACTGTATATGCATTTTTATATATGATCATTTTCATCAAATTGGTTTCTTGAAATCTGTGGAAATTTTACATTACTAGAATGGATTTCTTGTATTCTTGTTTCCCCTTTTTCCTCTGTTATGAGGCTGTCTTGTCTTTCACTTTTTTTCCTCTAGTTTTTTGTTTTGTTTTGTTTTGTTTTTGCTATTGTTGCTTGGGATATTTTGTTTGGTTTGGTTTGGTTAGGTGACAATTTCTTTTATTCTTAACCTTTCTTTTTTAAAAAACATATTTAAGCCTAGACACTATTTTAACTGTAATTTTTAGTATTACATTTCTAGTGTGCTTTAATCTTTAATTCATGAGGGTTTTTTTTCTTTCTTTCTTTTTTATGGCATTGGGGACATTTAAGGTAAATGGACATACTTCCTATTATCTATCACTGAGTTGTAGGCCCATGTCTAGGAACACAATTTAAAATTTCCGAGTGTGTCTTTTCAAACATTACTCATTCCCAGTTAGTCGCATTGTGAGTAGAGAAGGTGTTTTCTTTGAAGGGTGCTGACACTTCCTTTGGGACATAACATGATGTCAGTATGAATTCCCTGTGTGTTTGAAAAGGCATGTATCCTTCTTTGCTCAGTTCAGGGTTCTTTGTTGTCTATCTTTTTGTTACTGCATCAAATGCCAGAGCTGATCAATTACAGAAAGAAAATGGTTATTTTTCACACATGGTTTCAGAAGTCCTGGTTCATGAATTATTAGTTCCTTTGGCTTTTAGACCTAGAGTGAGTGAGTGAGCACACCACAGCAGGATCATGTGGAGAGAACACACATTGGAAAGTGAAAGAGAGAGGTAATTACCACAGTTCCACAGTCTCCTTCAAGGATACGCCTCTAACGACCCAAGGGCTCCTTTAGGCTTCCAACCTAAAGGGTAGGTGACCTCAATAATGACGTCATGGAGAGCAAGCCTCTGCCATATGGGCCTTGAGGAGGTATGTATTATTCAAATTATAGCACACATCCATACTAGTTCAATTTTATTAATGAATTTAATATTCATGTGATGAAAGACAATAAGAACAAGAGAAGAAATTCAAAGAGAGTTGAAGAAATTACAAGATAAGATTATGATTAATGAAATAAGTGGTTATTTAGTTAATACTTAATAATTGGCCTTGCTTAAATAGAGGGAAATCACACTATAGATTATGATTAATGAAATCAATTATTATTTAGTTAATACTTAGTGATTGGCCTTGCTTAGATAGAAAGAAGGAAGTCACATTAGAACTCAACCAAGAACGGGACAGCTTAATGCTGCCAATTTGGACATGACAATAATATTTTCCTATTTCCTAAAGTTTTCTTTAAAAAAACCTATGAGGTTACAATCTTTAGGTATAAATTTCTGATTATTTAGAAGTCTTTAACCTATCAGTATGTCTAGATTGATTTCTTATGAGGCCAGGTGTCTAGCTTCAATATTGTCTTGGACCCTTAAAGAAAAATTAATGCTTTTAACCTTTGTGAACACACACTAACAGGAAATGACTGTTTAGCTACAGTAACTGCCTCATCCTTTAATTCCTCTGAAACAAATATGTCCAGCAATTCAGGGGAATGCCTTACGCTTCCATGTTTTATTGATATGTGCAGTATATGAACATTTATGTTCAAATCTCTTTCCTAAGCTAATGACATTATACTGGGATTTGCTTTTTACCACTTTTGTCTCTCACCATATCGCCACAAATGGCCAGCACTAGTTCTGAAGATATGTACACACAGATTAGAGTGAATTCCACTTGGACACTTGGAAATGTATGTCTGGAGGTGTGAGCTGAATGAGGAAAAGGTATATAACTTAAATTGAAATGATTGCATAATATGCAGACAGAAGAAAAATTCCCCTCCTAACCTATAAAAAGTTATTTTCTGAACATACGACATTTAAAACATGTTTATTTGATGACTAAGCCATTTTGTGCCATTTTAGAAAGAAGAGAAACTCCCTGTGCCCTTCATCCCATGACAGTCTTTTCCAAGTCTCCCTGTGGCAGAGCAGCTCAGAGGCTCACCCAGTAGTTAGTTCTCCTAGACTCACCCTGCAGCTTGTTCTCCTAGATTCTTCCAGGATCATCTGTAGTTTGTTCTTCCAGGATCATCTGTAGTTTGTTCTTCTAGGATCATCTGTAGTTTGTTCTTCCAGGATCACTCTGTAGTTTGTTCTTCCAGGATCACCCTGTAGTTTGTTCTTCCAGGATCACCCTGTAGTTTGTTCTTCCTTTGCTTCTCCTCATCTTCCTCAGAGCACAGGACAGTCAGGCAGTAGGGAAGCTGATCTTGTTGCCTTTGCTTTTTGTCACTTCAGACAGTTGTTTCCTGTGTATATTCTAGCTCCATTTGTCCTCACGTCCCAAAGATTGCTCACAGTTAAGAACACATGCTGTTCTAGCAGAGGACCCAGGTTCAGTTTCCGTCACCCATATGGTGGCTCACAACCCTCTGACCCCATCAGGCATGTAAGCGGTGTTCAGACATGTAAGCGGTGTTCAGACATGTAAGCGGTGTTCAGACATGTAAGCGGTGTTCAGACATGTGCACATCACTCATACACATAAAATAAAATAAATAAATATTTAAAATGAAGTCCATTCCAAAATGGAAAAATGACTCACAGTAGTACTCCAAAACATGTTTGAACTTGTAATGTTCATGTAAGTGAGAATAATAAAGTATATAACAATATAAAATTAACACTGTGAACTATAGAAAATGGGTCTCTGACTTATTCCTTATTGGAGAAGAAAGTTAACTGAAGTTGAAACCTAATAGTAGTGAGCCTTAAACCAATCAAAACACTTT